TGCACCAATGAGTGTGGCAGGTTATTATCACAGTAGGATAAAAAGTGTTATTATCACTCTAGGGCTGTCCTGTCTATAAATCTGGGGAGTTTTATCCTGGGTAGGTGTGGTGGGTTTGGTTTGCCAATTTTTCACCAGTTTTGAGGTTTTCTGGCCAAGGCACCAATGAGTGTGGCAGGTTCAGTGCTTGCCAATCATCAGTGCACTCACCTCCTGCAGTGACGTGGGATTAGGAGAAAGGCAAAGCAGCTTCAAAACCTTAAAAGGGTATAAAGAAAATTTTATTAATGGTAAGTAAAAGAAAAAAAGAAAGTAAGAATTAAAACAAACCCTTCAGAACACTTCTCCTCCCCCCACAACCTTTCCTTGTACACTGAGAATGTAAAGAAACAAAACTTAAAATTTTCAGTTAGTTTATCACCTCTAAAATAGTCTTTTTTCAGTTCACTTAGGGAGAGAAGTCCCTCTTGTAAAACTATGACAGTAGGACACTCCAGTGCCCAGAACAGGGTTGCCAGCTCTTTGTGTAGCTGGAGGAGAGAGAGGTGTCTCCAAAGGATGTTCACACCCCTGGTTTCAGCCCTGATCCCTCTCCACTGGTGGAAGGGCTGCTGAAATGACCATAGTGGATAACACATCTTCTAAACAATCACCAAGGAGAGGGGAGGGTGAACTGACTCTGAATGAGAGAGGGAATGAGGGAAGTTACAGCACAGCCCAGGGGAAGCATTTGCTCCGCAGCCACAGGGTGCAGTGGCTTCCAAAGCCACTGTGCAAGGGACACATCCCACCCAGCCAACAAGGAATGGCAGTACATGCCACCTCTCCACACTGACACCCCAAATCTGAACATGCCAAAGGGACCCAGGGCACAGAAAGGCAGAAGGAGCTGGAGGAATGCTTGGCTGGGAGATGAGGGGTGGAAAAACCCTTGGCTGAGAAATCCAGAGCTGCAGGATGGGTTTAAAAGAGCAGAGAGCAGGAACTGAGACGCCATGTCATGCAGAGGAGCCTGGGAACCCAATAGGGAAATTGGAGACTTAAAAAATACATGGAGCATTCAAAAACCTGTGTGCAACTCAGTCCTTGCAGTGAGGCTGTGCTGAGAGGGGTAAAGGAAGGGCAGGAGCAATGCTGGGCTTTGTTTGTAAAAGCTTTTCCCCTCTGGCCAGGGCAGTCTGTCCATAACATTTCCTGCTTTCAGGTGTTCCTGAGGCGTCAGAATGGAAAGCAAGATTTCTACAAGAACTGGAATACTTATGTGGCAGGGTTTGGAGATCCTAATGAAGAATTCTGGATAGGTAAGTGCTGAGAATTTTTATTTTTGGAAAAAAAATAACAAGACAGGAACACAGCCCAAAAGTCCAGGAGCCACTTAGAGGCCTCCATTTAGCTGGCAGGAATATTTGTAAAGGAGAATAGGAGAAAAGGAGCCAGGGACACCCTACGTAAGGGAGACTGAAAGGGCCAGGCTCAACCTGCAGTTCAAGGGTGCCATGCTGGGGTCACCAAATGAACCCACCCAATGCTCACTGGGGCTCTGGGAGCAGTCAGAGGTGCCCTGGAAAGGAGGTTCTGCTTCTGTCCCTGCTGGGACACTCCCAAAAGCAAAGGCTGATGATCCAGAGAGGAAAAGCAGATAAAAAGCAAATAAAAGTCAAAACCTCACATTTTGGTAAAACAGAAGTAAACCCTCCACATTTTCAAAGATTGCACTGCATTTTTCTGGCTGTAAATGAAAGATGATGATGATGATGGTCACATAGCACAACTTTGGTTGTTTTGTCCAATCTGTTTCTATTATTTGAAGGGAAGATCCCTCCCAGTCAACCTGGGACTGTTTATTTGCTTTTGTGCTGACATCACACTAGAGCTGATCCAGCTCAGTGTCCTCACCTGTGCTGGTGTCCTGCTCTGTTTGTACAGTCCAGTATGGCCCCGTTTAGGGAATAATGGCATGGCAGAGGAAAAACCATGGAGAGACTGGTGCCTTAAGGAACCTGGAAATCAAACAACATGCTTTTGAGATAATATTAGTATAGGAGTAATGTAAAGGTTGATCTTTGTTGGAGGCCTCTAGAGGTGAATATGGAAAATGTCCACAAAATCTCCTCTCCCATGGGGTGAACAGACTTTTCCAAGTTCAGCAAATTGGCATAATTGACAAAATCACCAATTAGGAGCACAAGTGGTGATGTAACTCTCCTGTGTTCAAGCCCCTTCTACATCCTCTCCCCTCAGATGGAACTGAATTTTGTTGATGAAAATGAGTCTCAAAGAGCTTTTTTTTGGCCTTGGTTCCCAGGGAGAACCAAGATGGGTAAGGGCTTTGGAATGTGTTTTGTCTTTCTGCCTAGGGAAAAGGTAGGGAAAAGCACTGGGAAAACTAAATAGGAAAGCAGCAATAGGCTACAGAGCTCCAAATATGTGTGTGAAGAATACAGAGAATACAGAAGAGAAAAAAGGCAAAAAAAACCATCTGACATCAAGACAAACATTCCTTCCTTCCCACAGGTCTGGAGAACCTGCACAAAATCACTTCTCAGGGCCAGTACGAGCTGCGGGTGGACCTGAGGGACAAGGGGGACACGGCCTACGCCGTGTACGAGCGCTTCAGCGTGGGCGACGCCAAGAGCCGCTACCGCCTGCGCGTGGATGGCTACAGCGGCACTGCAGGTGAGAGCAAAGTGACTGTCCCTCCTCCGGGGACACGCTGCCTCCCACTGACTCAGGGAAACCCTGGGAGTATTGCAGAGCAGCAGGTGCCTCTCCTGTGTGAGTGTCTTGGTCTGCTAAGGAAGGCAGGAGCCACCCCTGAAAAGGAAAATGTAACCGCCCTCTCTACGAATGATGATGATGATCTCTATGTTGATGATGATGATCACACTCTCTATGAATTATTATAATTTTATTAAAGATTATAATTTTGAAATTAAGGAGGTCTCAGGCAAAGATATGGAAATAGGAATAATTCAGTTCTTTTATAATAATTCCCCAGTTCTTTACTAGGGAAGAAAATAAAA